CCCCCCCCCCCAACGCCACACCTGCCCAGCACAGCGCCACACCACCGTCATTTCCGGATTCAGAAACCCGTCTGAAATGGGGAAAAGAGGGAAGTGGGATACAGGGAAGCTGCTTTGGACCTGATCGAATATAGTGTGTGTGTGTGTGTGTGTGTGTGTGTGTGTGTGTGTGTGAGTGCGTGCGTGCGTATGCGAGCGTGCGTGTGTGTGTCACGTAACCCTACGGCCATTGGGTCGTGGTCAGGCGACGCCGCCGGACCCAGAGCCCCACTGACCGGCGCGCACGATGCCCCGCTCGTTCCCGGAACGTCGTCATCTGCATCGCCGCATCTCCTAAATCCCAAACTACGTCCGCACCGCCTGCAGCGGCCTCCAGCGGCCGGCCTGAGATACCATCGTGATCACACCGGAGGGACCAAGCGCAGCGCGCGCAGACCGCCTCAACGGAGTTACCAGTGTGATGCTGGCCGTGTGTACATAATACAATAATGATATAATGTCGAGCTGCGCTTGAGCGGTTCGAAACAAGTTTCGGATGATAAATAGTGGACTCCACTTTCCCTCTCCTCCCAGGCCTCACTCCCCCCCTTTCCCCCTTTTCCTCCTTCCATCCCACTTCTTCTCTGTGAGGATCCAATACATATTTTTTTACGAGCGCGTGATGGAACATTGACTCGTAACGAGTGCGCGATCACGGCGGTAATTAAATTTCTCTTTTACGCTACTCGTCGCCCTTGCTGTCGCCGCAGGGGCGATGTTTGATGCGTTTGATGCCCCCTCGCAACCCGTGGCCGCGCGCGCCGCGTGCGTGCAGCTTTTTGCCGTGTATACAGTTAATATATTCGGAAGGCGTCGAGTTGGGTCCGTTTTGTGAGTCTCTTCCCGAATCATATGTCGCACCACACACGCTCAGCATGACGGCATGAAGTTGCTACCCGACCACGATCGCTCCCTGTCGGACGGAAAATTCTGAAAACAAACGCCTCGTCTTAGTGGTAATCTTAAATGCCATGGGTCATCGCCGCGAGTCCGATAGTGCGCCGTGGGTAGTCGCCGAAGCCTTTGTGGAGTTATGGGACGTGCAGTAAAAGCGTAGAAACGACGACACGACCACCTCGAGCCCGAGGAGGTAGCCGCTGGTACATATAAAGTTGAGGAGAAAAAACAAGACGAATGGCCACGTAACACGGCTAAAGGTTCTTCAATTCATTGCCAGAATTGCCATCGCTGTACAGCGACTGGAACGGTACCGTACCGGGTGTGGGGGCGAGTGGGAGCCGAAAGATATCATGAAGACAATACAAATAAGTTTCACGCTTAGTATATAAAATACGCAGCAAGATTATTGACTAAATTGTTTATTATTATCCACATTTTTGTAAGTAGTTTGCTGAAAAAAGGAAGTTGTCAGTAATGTGAAAAGAAATGATTTCGTACCAATGAAAAAGAAATTGTCGGTAGCTTATGAAGGTTTTCTAAGAAGCAGGAATACTGGCAAACGAATACAATAATTAGGAACAACAATTAGGATAAGAGTGTTGTTTAAAGAACCCTAACCAAGTCATGTGAACTGGGGGTCGACTGAATTTGACAAATGAGCGAATGTTAAAATATAGGGCTGCCCTAGATGATCTGATGTTGACAACGCCGCTCTGTTTTCATTTTGCAGGCCTCCCTGGGCCGTGGTCCCCAAGGCGCCCGCTCTCCTGTTACTGCTGCTGGCCACGGCGGCCGCCTCCGAGGTGACTAAAGAGCCCGAACTTATCACGGAGCCCCGCCCCGGCCAGGAGTACGTCCTCGTGAATAGCCGCAACACCACAGCGCTGCACGACCACAAGCACGAGGCTCACCACAAGAAAGGCAAGTAGAGGAAATCATACGTTAAACACGGGTATTGCGGATGGTGTATTGCGGGGAGCGGGTGGGGTAGGCGAGCAGGTCTCTGAGAATGAACGCCACCCGGGGTAAAGTTCGGGAACGTTGGCCGCCAGACATTCTCTTGCATGCCCCAGGCCGCCCGAAGCTCCCGCACTTAAGCGCTTTGGGAGGGCCGCTGGCTTCACACAGTTGCTCGACGGGCTTGCCTACCCATCGCGCAGCAGGCGCTGCCATGGGCGTCGCCTCGTGAAACGTATATTGTGGGACCCACCCTTTGCCTTAGCCATTTTGAAAAACTTTAAGTTAACCACAATGTTTAACAATTCCGAACAATTCAGTTAAGCACCACGTATTGTCGAAAACCATGAGTTACTTCCATGAGTGCGCCATAATTGCACGTTGTTTTACCAGCGTCACTCAAACACACCCGCTATCCCAGTATAACGCAACGTTTACCATCTGCCCCTTTAGCGACCGCCCTGCCGCCGTCGTCCGCCTTCAAGACGTCGCACCAGATCCCCGTGCCGGTGGTGCGCGCCGCGCTCTCCACCGACAAGCAGCTGAAGGCCGGCCTCGACCCGCGCGACGATGCCGCGGACGGCTTCGCCACCTCGCACAAGATCACCCGGGAGGCGCCGAGCTCGGCTGCCTCGGCGCGCCGCCTCGACGACAAATACGACCGGTCGCTGGAGGAATCCGAGAGCGGCCAGTTCGACACGCCTGCCCCGCCCGCCCCGCCCCGCCAGAGCCTGCCCGGCACCAAGATCCTCAAGCTACTGGGCGGCTCGGCCCACGACGACCTGCACCTGCCCCTCGTCCAGCTCAACCCCGCCATCCTGCCAGGTACTGTCCAATAGCTTCATACACCCGCTAAACCACCGCTTCGAACACGAGCCACCAGACATGTTTCTTTCATGTCTCTGGCATTCCGGATACGGATAGAAAGCACGGTGACGCGAGAGGGCACAACAACTCCGTCCTCTTCTTCCTGATAACATCCGAGGGGCAATAAAAAAAATGATTTACCTTCACGAGTTACAAGCTTCGTTTTTTTTCGTAAAGCGTATTTTTCTTGCGCGCGCGACTCCCAGGCGCCAACCTTGCGGACGGCCGCTGTGCAGCGCTTGCAGCGCTTTCATAACGGGAGCGCAGCCGCGGGGTGGTGCGATCCAGATGGAATCGCTTCCCTTTCTTTAGCCGGGAGGTGAAAATGTTGCCGTGCGGTTCAAAGTGTCTTTGCCCCGAGTGATGCTTGTCAGAGATGATTTTGGAAAGAACAACGCTACCAACAGCATCACACTGCGCCTCGCGGGCGACCACTGTACCGGGGCAAAGCCAAGCGCCTCCTCTAACCGTTTCTCCCACCCACCGTCTGCTCCGCTTGCTCGCAGCAAGGACGGCTCACCCTTCAATGTCGAGAGGTTGAACTTGCCGCTTGCCTCGCAAAACAGGAAGCTCTCCCCCACCTTTTTTACTAAAGTCTGATCGAAATCGCACCCTCGTTACTTGATATCTCTCAGGGGCATCGCACCCCGCCCCTGCCCCTCCACCCACGCGTTCCGCCACGCGCCGCCACGCCCGGTCACTCCTTACCCACCCCGCGTGCCATGCTCAACACGTCCACGTTCCCGCATTGCCACTGCTCCCGAACCAACCCAACTCCAATCAGACATAGCAAGAAAAACCTTCGTAAAGTTATTTCGATATTTTTTTCGTAATGTTTCATTAAATTTTACGAGATACAATGTGCTGCATTATATTATGTATGACATTTAAAAACAGGAAAGTATGCACACTGAAAACA